AAAAGTCATGCACAATGCAAAGAAGGCTACAGAACGGCGGGAAACACTTTTCTGCACGCGGGTTCTCCATAACAACAGAACACTCCGTCGGGCAAAAGAGCTCCAATTCGGCGGGAACATAATTTAGCGGTGCCGAAGCACACACAATTAAAAATCCACAACTTTGGGTTGTGACAAGGAGTAGACATTATGGCCATTGAAAACATCCAGTTGCATTGCTTGAATGTCAGCTGTCATGTTTCAAACCACAAACCCATCACTCTCTGACGAGGAAGACTGTCTGTAGTAGGAGCTTCTGAGATGGTCCTAGAATAGGGGAACAACGTGTATAGTTCAATAGAAGATTACCTGTATTTTTAATGTTCGCTGTTAGTACTTTAAGACAGTAAGTGAACCTTTCTAACAGGCATGCTGTATAAGGTAAGCCCCATACCTTTCCCAGGTGCCACTCTGATCCCTTTCCTCTTCCCCCGCCCAATCTGCTGCTCTGCTTTCTGCTCTTTGTCCTAGTCTGCCTGTCTCATCTGCTGCTCTGCTTTCTGCTCCCTGCCCTATCTGCTGCTGTGTTCCCTGCTTGCACCGTGATCTGCCACGTGCCCCACACAAAAACTGGCAGATCATGTACCGACATTTGGCCACCCCTGCTCTGAGGCACCATCTGACTGTAGTTTGAAATGAGATTATTGGACAGGTCGTGGAAAGCAGCACAACAGACCCTTGGTTCTGGACTAGGTTGCCTTTTTGGTGGAAGCACTCTTCTAACCTTACCCACTCATGAATAATAGAGTCCTTTTTTAAAAAATCCATTTGCAGCTTTGGAAGTGCTGATTAAATAACATTTTGCCAATACTGAATCAATGCCACCTTTTGATGAGTGGGACCCCTGGGAATGGCTTTGCAGTATTGCCTTTACAGCACCGCTGAGTGGGGAAGGAAATATTTGGGGTGGGTTCATTCAGACAGAAAGCAAGGGTTTTGTCACTCGTCCTTGTGTGGGGGTTTCATAAGCTATTTATAGGCTTACCAGCCCAGCAAACTGAGCAGTCAGATATGATAAGAAACTCAGGAGGGCATGCCTTTCTAGTCTGCTGCAAAGCAGCATTGTGGACTCAGCAGGTAGGTTCTTGGAGTGGGCAAGTACCCAGAAACTCTGCAGTCTTGCTGGGACCTGATTGTTCTCCAAGAATAGCAAGCATTTAATATTTCGTTCACACACCGTCTTGTTAAAATGGTTTGATCCAGCACAAACCTAAAGATCTCTGATTTGGACTCAGAATATATCCAGCCCTTTAGAATAGGATGCAAATACAGATGCAGGAAGTGTATGTTTATAAGTGATTTAGCAACAGACAAAAAATTGCTTGGTGCTAGAGAGCAAAATAAATACACGGCAGCAAGAGGGGAAATGAGTGAGTTCATATATGACACACCACCCTGGTTTGCTAACCCAAAATCTGGTCTCCACCCCGATAGAGCTTAAGTTTATTTGGAAGAAAGGAACCACAAGCCTTTCTATCAGCCAATTTGTATAGCAGCTAGAATTCCTCTTGCTGTGAGTCTTTGCTCCAAGTTGTGAACTTGCTTAGTTTAATGATAGCTATTTAAATTAGTAAGACTTCTTTTAATTACAATAGAGTGCTTTCCATTTCATATGGAAAAACCTGCAGATATTTTTCAGTGCATTAATTGAAAATGTAAGCTTTCCTTTGAAAGATTTATTCTGCAATTTAGCCTAATAGCTGTCTAATCAATGCATTCACTTGTCAACACCCTTTTTACCTAAGCAAAAAAAAAAAGGGGGGATGGAAGAAAGGAGGAGGAGAGTAGGATCTTTGGATAGATAAGGCAGCAAGGCACAGTCTAAAAGCAAAGCAGCAAAATAAATGCCTGGAATACATGAAATGTCATCTTGCACACAAATTATCTTGCAGTTCCAGTGTGGATGGAAGAAAAAATACATCCCCAAAATGAGCTGGTGCATATGTGGTTTGAAATGATATTTCCATTAGTGAAGCCTTCCTTATTGATCTCTCTCTTTTTAATCTTGGACAGTTCGTGTTTTCTCTCTTCATCTATTTTGTCGTGTTTTTAATTTTTTTCTCCCCACTAGCTGGTTTGTCATTTTTTTTTCCTTTTCTTTTTCTTTGCTGTGTTCAACATCACAATGTTTGTTGCCACTGTTGCAGGGTATTTCTTTCCTCTCTTCCTCTTCCTCATGTTTGACACTCACTTTGATCTGTTTTGGAAGCACTTTATCAGCACTTGCTTATAGTACGAATTGCCTCCTTTTTGTTCAGGAAACATTATTAGTGTTCTAGCAGTGCTGGGATGGCTTTTATCTCCCTGTGGAATCTCATTAGGTTTACATTACAATAGGAACAGCATATGTGCAGCTATGCCAAAGTGGCCAGTCAATTTGAATTTGTTAATGGTGTTTTTTTTTTTCCAAGCAACTTTTTCCCCCATATCGTCAATGCCAAGGGAAAACAACTTTGTTGTTCAGGAGAAAAACACAATTTGTTAGAAGCAGAACTCCAAGCAGAAAAGGAACTGCTACTCATAAATATCCTCAGAACTGCCTTTCCTTTTTTACATGTCTGGTAGTGTCCTATAAATCCGAGCACTGTCTTAAAAGGCAGAAAAAAAATCATGTTCCTAGTTGGATATATGGTATTAAGAAGTTACTGTAATCCATGAGATTTAATGACAAGAATGACTGACTGTCTATTTTTTTTAAAAATTCCTAATTCATATTGTGGGAGCAATATGAAAGCCCAGGTAGGATGGAGCCCTGTCGGGTTGGATACTACATAAGCTCCTAGGAAGACATCCAGTTCTTGCCCCAAAATTGCTCACTGTCCAAAGGCCAGATTCCATTCCCCGTCACACTGAAAAGCGTCTTAATCCATAAACGCTTAAATCAATGGGGCTGCCTTCCTTGAAGGTACTATTCTGTATGAGGATATGTGGGCTCTGAAAGTTATGTGGACACTCTTATTTCAGAATAAGAATGCTTGTTTCATTTTAGCATAGCCTACTTTGAAGATGGATTAAGCTATGGATAGTAATAAAGCACACTCTATTGTGAAGCAAGTGGGTCCACAATATGGGATTTTTGTGTAATAGCTACCAAGTTCTTAAACCTGTGCTTTGTCTTAATCTGATTTAACTTTCAGATGTAGAGCAGTCATGAGACATGCTTGCCTCTTTCTTGTATTTAAAAAAAAAACCCCAAACTAGGGTACAACTAAGGTACCTTTGATCCTGCTTGTGATTGTATTCATAGATGTACAGATTTTAAGGCCAGGACAATACATAGTGCTGAGCCTGTCTTGATTTATTGCTGGATGCTCCAGGTCAAGAATTTTGCCAGAAATTCTTGCATCAAGCCCATAACTTCTGGTTCGGATGAAGCAACGATCCCCCAACTATGACCATATGTTGTCCAGGAGACAGGCTTGTAGTCACAGGAAATTAAACATTTAAAACAGAGGTTGGCAGGGAGAAGAAAATTTGTTGTTCCCAGCAATGTGTTTCTTGCCCAGTATTGTTACTCAGGAAAGGTTTGAGATCACTGAAGCAAAGCATATTTCTTAAAAAGTTCCCTCAGTCTTAACTTAAAGGCTTCCTTGATGGAGAATGTAGTACAGCCTTGGTGAGTTTTCCCAGTGGTCACTGCGGACAATTTACACCTAAGTTTGTCTGAATTTGTTCAGCTGTAACTTCTTCTCTTTTGGGTTCGGTTTTGCCTTTGCCCAATGGATTAAAAAATCGTCTATGAGAAATCTTCTCTCAGCCTGGGATCACATTAGTGGATTCTGGACCATGGAGGAAATTAAAATGAGCATTAGATTCATATAGGTTTGATCTAACCAACTTCAAATGGGACTGCAACACTTGTACATGCGGTTTTTAGCCTTTATTGTTAAAACTACAAGGCCAGTCTCTACTTCACCATTAACATGCAGTACTGTATCGGTACATTGTCGTGTATCTCAACTACATTTCAGGTCTTCCAGTGGAAAAGTGGAATCTTTATTAACCCCCCCCAAAAAAAACCCAAAACAAAACGCAAAACTTGATTTTTAATAAGTTGAACGCCTCTTTTTCCACAGGCTTGTACACAAGAATCACTTAAATTTGCTATTGCAATTAAAACTTGCAAGTAATTTCCTTGATCCAGGAGCAAGGATAATAATTTATTCTCAGTGAGTGATATCAGAATCACTTTGGATCTTTTCCTTCACACAGCTAATTACCAGGACTTAAAGGTGTATAAAACTTAGGAAGAATGACAAAAAAGAAGTGTAGGCATATAGAGATGAGAAAACTAAGCATTTTTTTCTGAAGCAGCTTAGCTGTGCTTCAATTTGTTAGTGATTTTAGTGCTACACTGGGCCCATTCACAGAGGCACATCCAAGAGGGAAGTATTCTACTCTTTTGCACTGTAGAAAGCTAAAGTTTAGGAGCATTCTTTAATGTAGCTGCTATTTTTTTTAAATATTACCCAGTATGTTAATATTTTTGCAGAAATCTGCATATTCAAATAGTGGATGTAGAAAACCTTTAATAGTGCCTTTCCTCTAGAGGTATAAACGTGCCTTCTGAAGCTGTGCCCAATAATTGAAGGGGCTAAAGAGTTAAGTGAGTTAACACACTGAGTCACAGCAGAGATGGGAATAGATCCAGAGTCTTTCAGTATCCCCCACTTTTCCCTGACTTTACCATGATCATGTTTCCTCTCTACGTTGCTTTTTAAAATGCAATGGCAAAAATACTATATTTACTTGTATATCAAGTCCCTGACCATGTTTGTCTCAACCAATTCTCTTGCATTACTGAGAGCAAAAGAATAAGACTGGAAAAGCTTCTCAGAGGCCACTGGTGAGGATATAGACTGCTTGGTTCCCAATTTCTATTTGTACGTTATGCTAACATTTCTTCGGCTGAAACACTGAAGTAGTAAACAAAGATTTTTCCCCTTCTGTCCCTGGCACAGGTGACAGATCATGCAACCACTGCCTTATTGCACTACCAGCTACCCCAGATGCCAGACGTGGTGGTCAGATCCTTCATGGTAAGTCTATTGGACGGGAAACTCTTGCAGCCAGACTTCAGCATCATGTGGCAATTGAACATCACTGCCAGCTCCGGCGGCAGTGCGATTTCCCATATTTAAATGAGTTCAACTTAATTATTTACAACAACATTGTAAAAGTTGCTTTTCTCAGGTAAGTGGTTCTCTTGAAATAATTGGTACCATTCTCAGTACATTGGGTTGGGTGGTGTTTTGGAAAGGATTTGATATGTAGTAGCTTCTCGTAGATGTTGGCATTTATTTGCTAGTTGTCATCTGTGGAGCTGGCTTGGGGGTCAGCTCTAAACCTAACACGAATGTCTGCTGAGGCGGTGCGCAGGAGTCGGAGTCTGGCTGTAGCCAGCCAGCTAAAGATTCCCCGGTGAGAACTCGCAGCTGGCATAAAACCAGAAGAGCCAGCTCTTTCATCAACTGGCCCCCTGGGAAAGGATGTACATTTGGGGATGGGAGAGGGACTTTTGGGAGACAGGGCTTGCTACATCAATCTGCTCCCACTGTGTTCCTCAGGGACCATGCACCACTAGCATCACTCAGGCCACAGCGGGCTGTCAGGACCAGGGGGTGGCATGTGTATGTGCCCAGCCTCACTTGAGAATCTGCTAGAAAGAAATTAAGAGATGCAGTTATTGAAAACAGTCTCAACCTTAATACACACATTAAAAGCCCCAGCTTAAATCTGAGTAGATTTGGAATTCAGTTTCTGAAAATGGGCTCAAACTCTCCTGCTGTTTGGTGAAAGAAAACAGTAGTTTCCTATTGAGCACTCTTCCAGGCATGATGCATTTTGGCAAGTGGCCGGTGTTTAATCTACCCCACTCTGTTGGAGAAACCCGTTTACGCTGCACACACAGTTCACTTCACTTCACCTTTTCTTCTAACTTGTCCCAAACAAAGCTTAAAAATATGGGCAGTTTTCAAAATTATGCAAGGCAGCCGGTTTGCTTTCATCCCCAGAGGGCGCATGAAGCTACAGCAGTGGGTCAGGTGCGACTTCCTTGGCATTCCTATCATCAGGTATCTGATTTGAAAGCAATTAAACTCCTTTACCTGCTGCGTTTATTGGTTTACTTAATAAAAAGTCCACTAAGATAATATGCACGTGTGCAGGACTTTCCTCTTAAAGCACATCTTGCACGTGAGCTTTGAACAGGGGAAGCAGGCCTTACTGGTCCCATCTGTGTTTCAGGCAACAAGTGCCCGAAAATTAATCTTTAATGAAATAAGTAATGCATTTCCCTAAGCCACAGGCCTGCTTTATTGGTTTGGGCAAAATGCTGCTGAAAACTTGGAAAAAAATAAGACCACATGCGCATGGCATGTGTCAGTATGTTAGTCCTTTCACATGTCAGATGCACAATCTGTTTGACAGGATGCAGTGAAGTCTTAATTTTCTGACAAGAATGAAGGACTCTCTTTTTTTTGTTTGTTTGTTTCAACAGATGTTTCTTAAGTGCACAATTTAGCTGTATTTACCTATTTTCATATAGCTCAGAAAATTCAATTTTTTGCATGCAAACTAAGTTCACCAGAGCTGAAGTAAATAACAGCAGTTTGCCCGTAGTGTTCTCTTGCCCTTGTCTCTGTACTTACTGCTAAACCCAGAGACGGTCTCCTTCTTTTGGAGGAGAGTTATTGACGGCCTGACGTTGTGCTGCTATGGAGAAGGCTGTGATGAAGATGGAAGGATTTGTTTCAATAAGCTCCGTTGACCTCTTCTTCAGAGAACAATTTTCTCTTATCGACGTAATTCAATAGGACTTTAAATGACAAGATTCATGTGCATCCTTCACACTGTGAATCTGCTTGCCTGGGTTTTTTTGAGTTGCACATCTCCTTGAGCTTGGACTTGAGTTATGTAATGCTCATTCTTATGTATGACAATAGGAACAACCCAGTTAAGATGAGACCTTTACTTAGGTTGAGCCTGTTCTTTGTTACTTCTGACCTCACAACATATTCTCTTTTGCTTGCATCTGTGTAATCAGTGACAAATTTTTTAGAGCATTTTCATGGCCAATTAATATTGATCTTGAAATAGCATTAGAAAGAAAATGAGTTCCCTTGGTTGCAAAAGCCCCCTGTCTTCTGCTCTTCAGAGGTCAGGTTTGTGCCCTATATGTCTTGCAGCTGTGGTGTGATAGATGAATATTAGAAAAAGACAAGCCAACAACCAGGGCACAGATATCGGTGAATGGTCAAACGCAATGCCATTTCCTTCAGAATATGAGGAATATCCATAGGCTGTGATGACCTTCTACCTACTAATACTTCTCGTGGCATGAACTTCTATTTCCAAAGTTGATTTTTGGACCGAGGGAGTAGATGCCAATAAAATGGAGAATCAGCTGTATGGTGCCCTTGTGATCTTCTGCATGCCTCCCTGTCTGTATAAAATCACTGTGCATCTTGCTGGTTCCAAGCCAAGGTACATTCTCCGTCCTTGGTATCATTGTGTTTTGACAGGAATGATGACACTGAGGAACATCCCTATCTAGTTTCCTTAATTTCTCTCTACACTTTTCTTCTAGACCTGGTTAAGAAGTTACATAAAGCTGTTCCAGGCTCCATGCCAGCGCTGTGGAAAGTTTCTGCAGGATGGCCTACCACCCACCTGGAGGGATTTCCGAACTCTTGAGGCCTTTCATGACACCTGCAGGCAATAGTAACACAGCTGAGTCATTGGCTTGGCATGATGGAAAATGGGTTTATGGACCCAGTTGGTTGCAAATAACCTCTGAACAGTGTTGGTGGTCATTGGTGGATTCTATTTCTCAGCATCCACATGCACATTCCCACCTCTAGCAAATCAGTCCTTACTGAATAGTAAAGATGCATTGCTACATTTGACCATCAAAAGGGGCATCTTTCTGCAAGGTACTAATGAAAAAAATGTTTGTCTTCGACATAAGCACAGAGGAAAAGAAGAAAATCTCTTGTTACAGGAAGGTTCTGTGTGCTTTGCATTGGAGCTTCTGTGCTGAAATTATCTTCTGGGATCTGTGTCTTGTAGTCATTTCAAAAGCAACTGATATTTTGATGAGATGACCCATGTTCTATGTCTGTTTTGCTACAGTTTTCTTGGTAGTGGAGAACTTTATTTTTACAAACCAAAAATAAACTTTATATTCAAAGAGACTGTGTCATTTACTTTGTTACTTTCTAACAAATGCTGAATTCAGGCTGAAGTTTTCAAATCAAAGCTTTTGATTTGATTTGATTTTTAATCTGGAGAAATTAAAAAATATATGCTGGTAGAATTGTTTCGGATTTTTTTTTCCTTGCAAGGCTGCTTATCTGGGCTGCTCTTGTTCTGGAAGAGATTATGGTGTTGATAAACACGAAATTTCAAAGACATGTAGCAGCTTGGAAGATGGATTGTACTTTTTGAGAGAAGAAACAGATGTTTCCCCTTACTAAAAATGTAATGAGAAAAATGTTAGCAAAATCTGTATGTATGAAGCGGTTAGAAAATGTGTGATGAGTAATGACAACGTCTAATTCATTTGCCCTGTTTTAGTATTGAAAGTTGCAAAATAATTGAGGCTTCAAGCGCAGCTTTTGTAGCACAGATACGTGCATGTACAGCGCTGCAATTTAAAACTTGTGTATTTAAATAAGACCCTATATTGCTGTAGCAAAGGGTGGCATGTCCCCCTGATCCGTGCGGAGGTTCCTATTCCTTCAGGTTAGCTGGTAGAAGCTGAGGCTGATGGTCTCTGGTTCGGTCCCAATGGGATGTAGCTTTCCGGGTACTTACCTGGAGAGCGTTATACTGTGTCACCATCCCAGTTGCCCCCATGACTGCACTTCCCTACTGTTTACCTGCATGATTTTCAAAATCCACAAGGATTGCAGCTTTGGAAGCCAGTATGGAGAGAGAGAGAAAAGGGCTTTCTGGTGGGGGTAGTTGGCTTTTCTGTCAGATTTGATAGCATGGCATAACGCTGCAAGCTCTTTTTGCAGCCCCGTCAGTCAGTGTGAAGGGTGCATGTAGCTAAAAGGGTAAGAATTTTTTTTTCTCAAGCTTTTGTTTTTTAGTAAAAATCTTCGGGTAGAGTTTCTGCCATTGTGGCAATGTAAAGGAAGGCGTTTCACTTGCACATGTTCTATCCCAAGAACTTAAAGCACTCTGCAAATAGCAGTGAATTAAGCCTACAAATAATCTCCCTGAGGCAGTAGTAGCTAGTAGATGTGGAAGCTGAAGTTTGGAATGGCCGTGACTTGTTTCCAGTGCCGTTCTGCAGCGGTTTAGTACTGAATCAAATGTGATTGCATTGCATGGCTAATGTGAAGGACTACATCTGCAACACCAATTTCCGCTTAATATAAAAACAAACATGGATGTTTGTAAGCAGGCCCAGTTCAAATGGAGAACACTGGCTCTTCAAAAGGAGATATGCACATGCTGTGTCTTTCAAAGACCTCCACAGTGTTTGATTGCAAGGAATGAATGTACATTTAATCAATGAAGTTGATGAACAGGAGTGACTAGTGTTATGCTTTCTCACCTTTCAATTTTTTTTTAGTTCTCTGCAAATTATAAATACCAACTTTAGATTTCAGGGATTTGTCAAGATAAGTACAGTTGATTTACCTAGTGAAAGCCAGTCCCGTTGCACAAATGACTGCTTGCTTGCTGCGCTTGACCTCTCTGGAGTTCTCGGGACAAAGATCACGCTGGACAGGACAGTATATGCATCTCAGATGAGAGCGAGCACTGTATAAGTGGTCCTGCCGTCATTCCACCTAGCCTGTGAATAATGAGAGCTTAGTTTTCTGATGCTGTCAGCTTTTTCTCTCTCTCTTTTTTTTTAATAAGAAGGTCACAATATGGTTTTCATCAGGCTTTGGAGGTCTCTGACTTCTGCTTTGTTTATGTTTGGATAATGGGGCAAAAAGTAACCCTCAGCATTCATGGCAACATCATGTGTGAAATAATGCATTGGCCCTTAAGAGTTAATTAGTTGTAGAGAGCCAAATCAGTCACTCTGTGTATTAATTGAATTTGAAATTTTGAACCTATAATTGGCTAGCCTGGTGCAGAGTCATAACATTTCATTGCAGGCACTTGATCAGAAGAAAAATTGTCTTGGTCATGGAAACCTAAAACAATCTTGGTTTGCATAATCCTTCCAAAAAGGCCAAGACAGGCAAGAATCTCTGGCTACCCACAGAAGCTCTAGCACAAATGGTGTCTTGTTTAACCTCTGCAGTTGCTTGCTCGCTCTATCTAGCTATCTATCTAGCTATCTATCATGAGGATGGGAATGAAGTAAAACTGTGTCTAAGTTGCTCTTGCTTATGAACTCAGGCTGTGGAAAAAGTTGAAAGTTTCAGCAGCGTAGACATGATGTAACTAAATCTGATCTTGATCTTAAAATTTTGGTTTGCTTGGTGATGATCACTGGTTGCTAATCGCTGGCATGTGCATTTCCAAAGTGAAGAAGAAATTAGTTGACTGCTTTGAATTTAAGGTATTGAAACTGCAGGCTTACCCTAACTAAACCTAAATTCTCTTGGTGAAAAGCCTTTTGCTTCTTCTGTTAGACTTGTGCCTTCGGCAGTGAATACAGTTCCCCTGGCTCAGTCCTGGGAAGAGAAAACTTGACGATGAAATGAGACTTACTTGCAGGGTAGGTAAGTTTGGGTTTTGCTGTAATGTGTTGATTGTTGCAGCTTCTTTACAAAACTGTTCAAATCCCTCGCAGCAGATATTAATGAATGTGTCTCCTGAGGAATGGGCAGCATTTACCCCTATTGAATATTGAAAGCTGAGGAGGAAAGAGGACTCCGTTTTTCACAGCGCTCTATTTCAGCAAGGCAAATGTCACTGTGGAAAGGGTGAGTAGCCAAGTTCAGCA